ATTCTAAAAGAAACATAACAATATTGTTTTATGTACTTTCACTTTTCACGTATAGTATAACTACTCTTTAAGATTAAGTACTGTGTATCTCAAAAACCAGAGCTAATAAAAATTTTTCATTGTTATTTTCGTTTTTATCACCCCAAAATTAGTAGAAATTGACTAATTTAGTGTAGGAAACATTCAAAAAATATTTTTGTGTTGTGATATTATTAGTTTCTAGGTAGATAGTAATATCTCAAAAAGTATATATAAATCACAATGTATGTAGAATTCAGTTTGTTAGTGAACACGCTTGAAAAAGCTACTGTGTAGCTTTTTCTAGCAGGTCCAAGTAATGTACAAAGAAAGCGGAAGTTTATGTCGTCAGAAGAAAAACATTGTCTGTAGAGTGTACAGAAATTTAAAAAATACACTCCGTACAGTGGAAGCTGTAGTAGCCCAGTGTTCATTTTTAACGGAAATATCCGTGTCGACAATTGAGCGCGCACGTGAAAAAAAGTGACTGTGATTGTCCAAGCTCCAAAAGTGCATTGTCGTGGTAGAAAAAAATTGAATTGGACGAGTACCAGAAAAAATTTGTACGTAATACCATTCATTCTTTCTTTTTTGAGAATAAAGCGCCAACCATTGAATCCATTAGGACAAAGGTAATGGATAATGATCTAATTCTAAAAATGAGCAAAGAGAAGTTGAGGAAAATAGCATAAGAAAATTTAAAATTTATATATGCCAAACGATCCCGTAAATCTGTCTTAATAGAAAGAGATGATATAGTCTTATGGCGACGGAGATATCTTCGCTCTATTAGAGAAGTGTATTCTGCTCACAAAAATATTCATTATCTGGACGAAACGTGGGTGAATGCTGGTCACATAGTATCTAAGATCTGGCAAGATACTACTGTAACCAGTTATCGTCAAGCATTTGTGGACGGTTTATCAATAGGGTTACGCGGACCAACGGGTAAAGGGCAACGACTAATTGTCACCCTTATAGGTAGAGAGAGTGGCTTTTTAGACGATAGTGCAATAATTGTTTTATAAAAAAAACGGTGGATTATCACGAAGACATGGACGCCCAACGCTTTGAAGAATGGTTTGAATACCTTCTTTCACGAGTCGAGCCAAATTCGGTAATAGTAATGGATAACGCCGATTAGTGGAACAGCTGCCAACTATGACCACCAGAAAAGCAGACATGCAGAGTTGGTTAGGACAAAAAGGAATTCCATTTTCCCAGGACACGGTTGAGGCCGAGCTTATGAGTGGCATTAAACAGCATCGTGACAGATATCGCCAGCATGTGGTGGATACAATAGCTCGTGCTGAAGGCATCACCATTTTGAGACTTCCTCCTTATCATCGCGAGTTGAATCCGATAGAATTAATCTGGGCTCAAATTGAGGGTTACTTAGCTCGTGAAAACGTGACATAAAATTTCTGATGTCCAACGTTTATTAGATCTCGCAATGGAACGGATACAGAAAGAAGATTGGGCTAATGCTGTAGCCCATGTGATCAAGAAAGAAGAGAAAATGTAGAGATTGGACAGGATTGTAGACACTGTTTTCGACCAAATAATAATAGATTTGAACAGATTTAAGTGTGACTGGGGATTTTTTTTCGGACGAGTCAATGGATTCTGAAACTTCATAAGCATAACATAGGTAATTATTTCTTTGCTTTGTAGTTCTCTTTCTATTGTTTTTTTTTTGAAGTACTATATTAGGCATAATAAGAAAATGTAATGAGTTCAACCATTGACACCAGGTAGCGCCACCTACTGTAATAATTTGTACGTAATTACCTAAGTGTTTAAATAAATAAAAATGTTATTTTGGTACGCCTCTGCAGAGTTGGTAAGAGGATTATCTGTTGGTCAATTCAAGTGCGACGTTGCTAACGAATCACCTTCAATTGAAGATTATTATAGTATATTCCCTTGTCCCTCGTCATAAACTGTGGATGAGAAGTTGTGGGCTACTTCACACTTATGACTTTTTCCACAGAAAAATAATAGATTGATAGATTTATTAGTCATATTTCTCCGGTATAATACAAATGAAGAGGATTATAGCTTAAATCACTTTGACTAAAAAAATCACACATTGTGAAACAATCACATACATATTGGAATATCAATGAAAAATAGAATAGATGAATAAACAGATGATAAAATACAGGGTGTAACTAAATAAGTGTAAAACATTTAAGGAGGTGATTCCTCATCGAATAAAAGATAGGAACTCTCATATAAAGAAATTTCATTGGAGCATCCCTTGTTAAGATATAGCCCCTTGAAGGGGAACATAAAATTTGTTTAACAATTTTTTTCACAAGCACTAGAAAAGTTACAATATTGAAAGTTACCTGACGTTTTGTACTACCAAAAAGACACTCAGCCAGAAATTTGTTTGTAAGAGGTGGTAAACGAAACCCCTAAAATTTATTTCCAATGTAACTTTTTGTTTTATTATTTGTTTACCATTCAAAAATTTATTTCCGATAGCCTGTTTCATTCTAAACAAAAAATGCTTCCTGGGTTTTTTCCCAAAATAAACCAGTTCGCAGCAAAAAATTATTTTAGGAACAACTACAGAGATACATCGTCATAAATGCGAAAATACGAAACTAATTCATCTAGTAGGTCGCTATTAGCGACAGTGACAATTAAATTGGTATGACGCTGTCAGTTTGTGAATTTTCGAAATTGAATTAATACTAATTGTGTGTTGTTNTGTCTCAATATCCACTTTTGAATAGTTCGCTTCAATAATTTTCACACTTTCATAAAACATCGTCAAACTCGAGTGAAAAAACTCAGACCTAAATGAACTCAAATTGAGTGCAACTCGAGTTGATTTGAATGGAAAAGTAAAGTAAATATGTGGAAGTATTTCTAGAAATATTTACCGTATCCATAAGATCCAGTATTTTCAATGAGAGAAATTGTAAACTTATCGACAACTCACTCAACCCTTGTTCATCAGTGGAATAGTTGATTTTGCCGCACCCAAATAGATTTGGAGCCATTATATTACATGCCTGTGAAAATATAAGCGAGATCATGACGGATAAAAATTGAAAAAAAAGTAGCAATTTCATTGGTGGTGTTCAGTTTCTAAATACTCAGTACATAGTTCAATATTTTGGTGGGTTTTCAAGGTACTACTTTCAAATTTGGCAGGTAACTCTAATAATCCAATCATTGAAAGGTTTGGTGAAGAAAAAAATTATAGAAATAGGTTTCACTTCGTCCACATACGTTTCTTGGGCTGCTAAATCCGAATTTTTTCTTTATGTCCTCGCCTGACTTCGGCTTCAGAGCTAGTTTCTCAACAATGAATATAAACATTTTTTTTTTCAAAAAAATCTATTCGATACGAAATTTATAAATGCTGAGATGAATTTTTCAATTGGGACAATACTTGACCTCGATAGCGAGCGATGAAAGGTGACCAATTTTTGATACTTAACGAATAGAAAGGAAAAAATATCTGTCTGTTTTGGCATTGAAAAAATTGTGTACTTGGAATCAAATCTATGTGTGATATCTAGTACGCCTAGAGCTTCTTTATGGAATGGGCGCAAGTCAATGAGGCTCATGATCAATCAGTAGTTCTTCTGTCGGAGTGATCGTCACCAAGTTCTTGAAGGATTTGCATTTTACATGCATGAAATTTATGTGATTTAAGTACTTTCCCTACAGATTCGAGGGATAATCCGATTGCTGTAACTGCCTGACGAATCGCTGAAGTACAATTCAATGCAAACTGTCAAGAGTATTTCAATTTGCGTTGCTTCGTCCAGTAATCTTTGTTGATCCCTTTTTTATTTGTGACAATAACAGTTTCTTAATATTTTGCTTGATATTGGCAGATGTACACGTGACTTACATTTTTTCCCAGGTCCTCTGGTTGTATACTTCACTTGTTCCTAACAAACACAAATCTGCTCTACCATAAGTGAAAATAATTTTCAGACGTTCAGCTGTGTTTTACACCCTTGTTTCTCGTGTACAACTTATCGGAATAACATTTGAATATATTAATGATGAAAGTATCGATTTCCGTCTTGAAGTAAAAAATGCAATTCAAAAAAACCTCTCGAAAAATATTATTTCAAACACCCACTTTGTTACTTTCACTAATCAGCCGTGTAAAATTTCATCAGGTACATGAAAACAAAAAAAAAGTAGAGGCGTAAAATGTTTAAGAGAATGATACGATGGTAATACGAATGTTTTTGATTATTTCTTGAGTTAATAAAAGAAAATAAAGTTTTAATTTGAATAAATAGTGTTTCATTTGATGAATCGAAACTCACTACATCGGATGTAGCTTTTTCAGCTACCATTGGAAAGCACTTTTTGAGAGCTTTTTGTATTTGTCCACCTGTGGTATATAGAATACTATTTGTCAAATTTAATTATGTACTAACTTTAGATTATAGAANTATATTTCGAGTGCATCCAATTGCGTTGATGCACATCTGTTAGAATTTTTTTATTTTTCAGGAAGTGATTTATTTTGTTTCTGGATTCTGGCATCCATTGTTGACATTTTTCATTTTGATGGTTCTCTACAAATAAGTAGAAGGTTTGTATATTCCTTTTGGTCTTTAATAAAGATAGGGTTGTCTCTTTTACCTCAGACAAAGGCAACTCCATCTGTCCGGAGTTGTTCAACTGCTTTGACTTCTCTGCTTGGATCGGGTTTTGATAGTTCACTAGTTTTGAGTACCCTGGCTATATCATGTCGTAGTTCTCCGGTATTTTCTTCTGACAGTTGTTCAACAGCTTCTCTGCACCAGTTGTAATACCTTCCACTGGTAGTTTCTTGAAGGCTAAAGCGACATTGAAACCTTCTAGTAGAACTGCTTCATTGGCGTTTGGGATATCGCCAACTATTTTCCTGATATCTAGATCGACTTGAAGAAAATAAATTCCGAAAATTAAGATAGTTTCCTTGTGTCTCTGGAATCTCAAAGGCTAGAGTGGATTAATCGCTAAGTTTCTCTACCTCTCACCGATCACGAGCTCCCCATGCATAGATTCGAATTTTAATAGCCCTGTTTCTGGGCATCTTTATTCCTTTCGTTTTCTTGTCATTAATATGTTTAATTTATAAGTCCAGATTTTTCAAGATCAATTTTCCGTTGAAAGTTTATGAAAATATCTGTGTCTAAACATTGAGAAATTGTACCAATACTTACTTTATAGCATATGAACGCATTTAGAAATATTTGTAAAGTATTATAAACCAGCAAAATTTTCCTTATGTTGAACGGTTTTCTATTTTCCATTAATTTCGGCCCCAAATATTTGACAATGTAGATGTAACTGACTTGTATGGCCAACATACATAGTGGTGATTTGAAAATGAGTATATCGTCTGTCCTTTTATCTGAAAAAAAAAACAGAATCAAAAATAAACATTTTCTGTGATATACATTTACGGCACATTGGCACATTAATTTTTTTACAATTGCTCAACCGATATTGAAACTAAGAAATAAAGTGATGAACTAAAAATAATCAAGCAAATTGTAATAAACAATCAGTTTCCAATTTCTCTAATAGGGAAGATAACACAGCTCACCAAAAAAAATCTTGTCTTGCTGCCGAAAAAAAATAAACTGATTTTGGTTAATTCATCTGTGCTGAGTCCAAAAATACAAACTTTTCCTTTGTATCACCTCTATTTTTCGAGATATAACATACTCATCAAATACTTAACCCTGCTCATGCACACTGGGGTCTAGAAAACCTACGTGCCCTTTTAATTCTACCTTGTAAAGGCTGATTCTCACTACACGTGCCAGGCACGATCCAGTCACGGTCAAGTCAAAACCGTTGGAATCACATTCAATGTAAAACAATGCTTTAATTCACATTGGACGGGACGGTCAAGACAAGCCGCGGTCTAGTATCGTGACGATCATTTCTGGGGCGATCAAAGACCGTCGCGCACGTGGCGGACTTGACCATGCCTGTTCAGTGTGAATGACGAAACGGCGATCGCCGGTCAAGTCGCATGCAAAATGGACGAGCAAATGATTGAATTGGTTCGAGAACATGAGGAATTATACGATATGTCCCACAGAAAATATATGGATACACCCCACAAAAACAAATTGTGGGATGAAATAGGGCAAACATTAAAAACAGGTAAGCATATAAACAAATTTTTGAATTTATTATTAAATAGCTACGTACAATATTACACATTATATGTTNTATAGTTTTAATTTATTATTACAAGTTCACACTCTTCACCCTTGATGAAGTAAAATTCGGGTTATGATTATATAACCGTGGTTGTAGTTATAATACATACCTTTTCTGCATTATCAATCATTCTCACAAATAATAAAAAACCAAACACCACAACCTTTAACCTTATTTATTTAAACACGGAACGGAAAAACTCGCCAAATATGACAAATCTTGCCAAAATCTATGAATTCCAGGTTAACCAACATCTTGAAAATTACTTCAAAGATACTTCATTGAAAGGACACTTTGATATTAATTATGAAACCAAATGACGGCAACAGCAACTTTAAAGGGGATTTTAGTGCAAAGTCTCCTTTCGGTAAGTGGACTTTGGATATTGATTATGAAATCGGCCGTTAGTAGGTCAGGTTAGAAGTTGAGGAAAGATAGTGTTTTCAAAGTTGAATATTCGAAAATATGTTCTTTTTCGAAAACATGGGGGTCAGGTTTGAAGTTGGTGATTCGAATTTACGTTCGTTTTCGAATTCGGAGGCCAGGTTAGATGTTGCGGATAGATAGTTTCTTATTGGAAATTATACCTACCCAGAGAAAGTATCTCTCTGTTAGCTAGACAAGTAACTAAAATTGTCAAAATAAACTATGTGGTTTTGGTTCACTGGGATGATCCAACACAATCTTCGAACTAGGTTACTAGTGACTCCTATATTTTCTTTAGCATCTGTCAAAGCTTCACTTTCATTGCCCTTTTCAGTATAAATCTCAAAGTTGTTGGCCAATCCTGACACACCAGCAAGAATGAATAATTTGATTCCCCATTTGTGAGGTTTGGCGGGCATATACTGTTTTAAGCTATATCTGCCCTTACTGGCTCATCATTAGATAAATGATTTTCCAGTGGAACAGTCTAAAATCGTGCTAGAATATTGGTGATTATAGGTCTCAGTTTGTGCAGTGTTACCACGAGGCTTCGACTACCTATTTTATATGGTTTCCAGAAGCTCAACCACTGATGCGTCGCCGCAGAGAGTGGGCGTGATTCATAATTGGAGAAAGGAAAAAATGAATGCCACGTGATTTAAACCAATCAGTAGTTCATGTGAAATACCTAACTCACAAAATAAATCACGAAACAGTGAATTTGTATAAGCGAAAATACCATACAAACCAAATTCAGATAGGCGGTGTGCCGTTATCAAACTTCCAGATATGGTTACCACAAAATTTATGAAATGAACAAAATAAAATGGTTCAGAGACAATTTATTTCGACCTAGGAAAAAGAAATTAGGAACGTCAATGTTCACGTAAATTATTGTTTGTGACACTTACAACGATTTTTTTGATATCGAACTTTGTAACACTTAATTTTTATACCTCCGTATAGATCTACATTTCGGCTAACATACTTTTCCAAATATATCGTAATTTTCAACAAACTACATAATGGAACTTCATGACTTGAGTAAGCTCAATTATAAATTAAAAAAACACTATAAATAAATATCTGTCGTTGTTTAATCTCCAAACAGGGTAATGCCCAATTGGATTTCGCTTAACCTTCATCCATGCGCGTCCCTCATCGTAGCACAGACCGGCGCCTGACGGTTATTTACCGCACTCACCTTCTCACCTCATTATCACTATAATATGCCATCTAAATGTTTTGGGATTTCGGTTTCCTTGATAAAAGACATCTAGTACTATATCCATTGGTACCAAGGAGAATGGTAAGTATAGAATAAAGGAGTACAAAAACTCAACAAAAGTATAGGATATAGCATGAAGTAAAATAAAATGTAGCCTTCCAGTAACTAAACGTACATAAGGAAATTTATAACAATTTGTACTAACGAAACCCAAAAAATGATCTGCTACTATGAACAATTTCTTCTAATAATCGCTGTTTTAGTCTTCGTCCTCGTTTGATATTTCGTTTGATATTGCACAATTGTCACATCTATGCTGCGAATGTTTTTGACAAACGCTTTTACCACAAGCATGGCAAGATAGTTTCGTTATATTATTTTTTATTGACTCACAAATGAAGCAAAAACGACGTTTATTTGGAACGGTCTCTGTATCTCTTCTATTTTCTTCTTTTTCTTCTCTGTATTGTTTCAGGAAAATAGATAAATCTTTTGGCAAATTTGTGATTTTTGCCCGTTCTCTCAAATTGTCATCCATCAATTGCATGGCCAGGCTTTTGAGATACTTACGTCTTGAGAAGGTTTTCTCAGGATTATTCATTTGATAAATCCTCATTGAGTTTATCCCCGCAATATCAAGATTTCTAAAGAAAATGATCATTGGCCATCTGTTAGTTCTTCTGGAAGTAGAGATCCTCGAGCACATCAGATCAACAGTGTCCACTCCTCCTTTCGTGGCATTGTAATCCATTATCTGAATCAGTTTTCCGGTTTCATTATCGACCTGATTGCCGTCATGCAATGTTGAAAGAACCAAAACAACCTTTTTCTTTTTTGTAGCAAAAGAAATCAAAGTGGATTCGTCATTATAGCCAAATAAATGATTGCCAGGAACAAGATTTTTATTTTCCGTTACAAATTCAGGTGGAATTTCAGCTTTATTCTTTCGCAGTGTTCCTAGAAATGTCAAACCAATCGATGATAAATATTGGGCCAATGGATAACTACTGAAAAAGTTATCTGTGGTAACGTTTCGATTTGTCCGCTTCAAAGGTTCAATCAAGTTCTTCACGATATCGTAAGGTTTATTAGAGGTGTCGTAAGGCCCAGGTGGTTGAGATCCACAATTCACCTGCATATTATACGTATAAAACGTTTGTGAATCACAGAGGGCGTAAATTTTCAATCCATACTTGGCCGGCTTTTGAGCCATATATTGGATAAATTTGCAGCGTCCGCGAAAAGCCACCAACATTTCATCAATAGTTACACTCTCTCCTACATTGTAGGCTGCTTCACAATCGCCAATGAATTTTGAAAAGAACTCTCGAATTGGAGTTAATCTATCAAGTTTCACTCGCTCTTCACGAGTCGTAACATCATCATATCCAAGAGATCTGAGAAACAGGCGAAATCGTCTTTCACTAAAATTAGCTCTCAATATTGTCAATCCTGTCCCGTCTTTCGTAAAAAAAAATCAGAAAAATCAGCACGGTTGCCACGTTTTACTCCAATTAGAAACAAAGCTCCAAAAACTGTCTTTATTTCTGACCTTGAGGTCGGCTTGTAGTCTCTCTCGCGTATCGGAGTCTCAGACAATTCTGTACGTTGAGCTAGCCTTTTAGCAATAAAAATGTTCGTATAGTTGACTATGTCATCAATTATTTCCAATGAAATTATTTGAAGAAAACATTCAAGTTCTGTTTTGCATTTTCTAGCTTCTCTCTTGGGTCCAGGAATTGTTTTTATGATGTTTTTTCACCTTGTTTTTGCAGTACTCGATAGAGGTTTACTAGCCCACAACGTTTCATTATCTTTTCTATCTTGGTCACTGCGGTCGGTCATTTCCTCGAAAAACGGAGCGTCCTCTATTTCAACCTCGGAATCACTGATGTGTTCATCTACGTGAATCTCTTGAGGATCAAAATCAAATTATGTTTTCCAAACAATGGAAATACTTTTTAAAAACGTTTATTTACACTTATTCAATGAGCTTTAGGACAGAGCCTTCGGCTGCACAATAAATGGAGTCAACTTACTAACTGACTAATCTTGAGAATATCAGAGTTTATATATAAAAAGGAAAAGTGCATTAGATCATTAACGTAAAAGCATTACATCGTTTAGTGTACTTATCTAAGTAACCTATGACATATTTATGAGATTAGTAGTACAATGCGTTATTCATAAGGCTACATAACTNTTTCAACTTTTCTTTTTTTCGGTTCCATAGTAATAGGTACTTAAACTAGGTAAGTAAACAAGCAAACGTAATATTTCAAGCACGTGAGTATTCACGGCGCAACGCGTCCGTCACTCAAAAGTAAAACAAAACACTGACCCGGGCGGCCGGCGGCGGTGGCAGCGCGATCGCATGATTACCCCCGCCCTTGCGATGCCCCACGCGCTTACCTATCGCCATGATCAACGCTTTCGCAGTCCGCGAACTCTTTCTCTCTTGCTAGTTCGTTACTTCGCGCGGCAGTTTTCGAATTGACGTCAACAAAGATAATGCGGAGGAT